CACTGAAAATCAGTATTTGACACCATAGAATAATGCAGGGTTAAGCATGTCCTGTCACCAGGAAGCACCGCCATTCATCCCACTTAGCCACGAACACAAATGAAACAAGTCTCACCTTTGCTTCAGTAGAACTCTAGTGTCCAGTGCTGCACATGTCAAGGGGAGTTCGTCCATCTCGATCACGAACGTAAAGATTCCCTCCTGCCATCACCAACATCTCAGCAATGTCCAGGGATCCCACGTTCACAGGCGTAGTGGGCGGGTGTCCGTATGAATGTTCATCGCACACAGAACATCAGCCATGTATTTCAACAACACCCTTCATTACCCGACGCGACGTTGATGCAGCTATAGTGCAGTGCTGTTTGACCATGCACATCACGGGTATTGGGTGCCGCGCCACGAAAGAAGCAACTCGTTCCACAAAGTGCACATTTTTATGTGACTGGATATGTGTGATGTCATGTGGTCGTGAATTGGAACAGGAACATTCAGGAACCACCTTTGCCAATGTTCTGGTCAGCACCATGGTGTAAGCCCAGTGAACTATTGTTTGGAAAATCATATCCGCAGTCCAGCATTTCTACATGCAAACCAATGAAGAGTTTCCAGCCAAATCTGTTCACGTCTTGATGTGATGAATAAGGTAACAGTTGCCGGACGGCTTGAACACAACCAGCTTCTGCCAACAAATACACAGGCATATTTGCCATTGTTGTTCTTTGATTGTGGTGCCTGCATGCATGTTCAAAGGAGAAGTTAGAGACTGATTGGGCACTCATTCCTGCGGCATGCAATGTGAAGGGATGTTGCACCTCAATGTCTTCAGTAGGTGATGGTCAACGTGAACACCAAGCATCATCTCCATTTTGCAACGTCCTCAACCGGATCACCTCAAGTGGGAGGTCCACAATGGCGCTATGGTCATATTCACAAGCTACGTAGGTGTTTTTACCACATCTATTCATTATGTTGAGATCTTTTATAATATGTAAGTAAACCCTGCAACAATTTCACTTTGGCCTAAGGAACGCGACATGCACGAGGGTGTGTTCCTATTGATATTTTCGGCAACATGGGTCGGCTGCATATGCTGGTAAATGATGAATACTTCTGATGGTTTCTGCCAGTTTAGCATCGGGCATGGTCAAAATGAGATGCGCTAAAACCATATGTAGAGGGGTATCACAATTGTTGTTCTCCAGCGTTGACGGCGTTGAATCAGCTGATAGAAGAGTCAATACAGATCCTACTGGGCATTGAGTGCAAGACACATGGAGTGGCGTGTCACCTGGGTTATTTTGCCACATCGCTTCAAAGTTCGGAGATAATGTATACGGACCACAGCGGAGCGCCCTTGATGTGAGAGGCAAAATGGAAAGTGGCGTATCTCAAAATCACTATTTCAAAGAAGCTTTACGCAATCTTTCTATCATGTTTTAGAAGACAGATCTAATAGCACGAGTACTCGAGTTCGTCATTGCGGCAATATGAAATGGTGTGTTGCCGTGATTTATCTGTCATCATCTCCATAACGTTGCTGCACCTGACTAAAACGTTCAGCCTGTTTTATGTTGTCCATTGACTCACAGAGGTACATCAAGATGGTGTTTTGCATTCTACCATATTGGGTTAACTTTGCATGAGCGAAGAAGAAGATCTCTAACAATTTTATCGTTGCCTCTCCCTATTGCCATGTCGAGGAGGTGTGAAACCATTGTGATTTTACCCAATACCAGATTAGGACTGGTATCGAGGAAGGAACATACATACTCTTGTATTTGTCGTGGGAACACGCCAGGTGGAGGACATTGTCACCTTCATCTGTTAAATGATCGAGATCCATTCCAGCCTCGAGCAACATCTCGGTAGAATATGCAAATGCCCGCCTTCGTGATGTTATGTGAGAAAGCATTTCTCCATCTTTTGATTTTATAAACAGTTGCTGTTTTGAAGTCTCTACTTCTGAATTTCAATATGTTTTGTAATGTTTTCACGTCCCACATGTTCACATGCTTTATGGAAGATTTGTGTAACCATTTGAATCTACAGCATTTGAATTGGTATCTGACGACAACAAACAAGCAACCACATCCATAAACCCAGCATCATATGCAAGATGTAAGGGAGATTGCACCATAAGAGAGATGACTGTCATCCATATCTGACCAGCCACCCAGCACTGTATGCTATAAGTAAATTAGCCACATCACCATGGCCACAGAATCACAGGCTACTTTGACTGGAGGACGACATTAACAAGTCCGTGTCTGGTTTCATCAATTACTTCTATCACATGCCCTGTTCTCTCACTGCCACCGAATCACTTGATTTTTCTCACATTGAGATGAAGTTGGAGTGTTTTGTAGGGTAGAATCCTTTAATGATATGTTTTCAACACTCAGCAAAACACTGATCCAGAAGAAAGAAATGCTTTTGTTACCCGGCGAATTGCTTTCTCACATATTTTCATAAGCACGCTTTCACGCCATACTGGATAAATAGCTCAAGCACATCAGCACCTTGATTCATTCAGATACTCTGCTACGTCAAAGTGGTTACCATCAATTGCAGCATGCAGTGACGTCATACCCTCAATTCCACTTCTAACTGTATTTTGAATGTAATTCTATGGTTTCTCTTTCATCTTCATATGTCTCCCAGGAACACTGAAAAGGGTGATATACACTGGAGGCCAATGGAAGAAATGTTAGCTCCATTTTTCTATTAAGTACCTCGCCACATTGTAGATGACCTCTCACAGAACATGCAATCAAATAGTTACTGCCATTTGCTCCCTGACTATTTCGGATTTAGCTCCCTTTATCATCAGTGCTTTGATAACATCAAGGTGATTCCTCTACTACAGCTGATAAAAGGGCGTATTGTTGAATTTGTTTCTGCAGTTTTGATCAGCACCATGATTCAATAAACAGTCAACGATTCCGTCATATCCTCTTGCATTATGCCATATATGGAGTGGAGTGCGTCCTTTATGTCCCCGTGCATTTACATCTGGCTCTTGATGAAAGTAACAATATCAACAGTTTGGATGTTTCTTTATTGACATGCATGATGTAGCCGAATTATCACACGACATGTCAGTTTCATTTATTACTGCCCCTTTGTTTATCAAGTGTTGCACAGTTTCTGTATGTCCTGATTTAGCAGCATAGTGCAGACAACCTTTCAAAGATAAGACATTTGAATCATCCATTTATTAAATTTTTAACTATGTTCAAATGCCATCTCGGAGACAGCACGAGTGGAGTGGTGCCAGTTTGTCCGTATTTTCAACATTACCAGTGTGATGATATCGAATGAGAAGCCTTACGCTTTTTCTGACACCCTCTGCTTCGGCAGCAATATGCATCGCTGTTTCTTTTCTTGCAGTTCGTCGGAGAGCCATCAACACCACGTTCCAGGGTCGCAACACACAATCAGGAAAGCCAAATCTACAGCATGATGAAGAAGTGAGGTTGCCATCAGAATCTATAGCTAAGTAATGACTTTCCGTGAATATTTTCAGATATAAGCTTGAACATATAAACTATTAGGTTAACATTGAAAGTGGCACGATAATGAAGTTGTATACCTGAGGAGTGATTTCATAACAGTGAAGTTATTACTTTCCATGGCTGCATGAAGCGGCGTTTTACCTTCATTGTTTACATGATTTGGATTTGCACCATTCTCTAATAACACTTGCGAAGCTAAATCTCTTGCATATTTACTACAGATATAGAGACACGTGCTCCCAGTTTGATCCACATGATCTACATAAGCCCTAGAGATCTAACAGTAAGTGTAGTATGTCAATGTTTCCTCTGCTACATACCAAATGAAAAAGACGACGAAAACAGCCTTGATTCGACCTTGTACATTTCATATTGTACAATAACCTCACAATGTCAGTGTAATCGCCCAGTAACATGCTTCAAGAGAGAGTGTCGTATCAGCTTCCTCATTTTTAGTTACACTGATTCGGAGATATCATCAAACAACGTTTGAATACTGCTAACGCCAAAAGAAGTGTTTTCTGCAAGTCACGTCGTTAGAACATTTTATGCACCAGCCATTCAACAATAGCCGTGTGTCCATATCTTGATGCAATCATTACACACGGAGTCTGCGTGATGACTGGATGGAAATTTCTCAAAATAACGTTTTACCAAGTCCATGTAGCCACATGCAACAACCCTGTGGAGGAGAATACCTTTACATTATCAGTATTGAGGTAAATTAAGTATTTCAATGCATTTGACATTTTGTCAAATCTTTCTGCTGCTGTAAGTGTATTTTGAAAACAAATTCCATTACACATTTCAGTTAGTAATAAGAAGAACTTGTGGTGAGTCAAGGCAACATAATTCTTGAAGGAAGAATTCTGGAGATACATCTGAAGGAAGTATCGGTAGCAGCATCCAAAAACATGATAAAATGTTTCTTTTAGAAGAACCCACTTTAGAAAAAAATGACGATATGTCGATATTGCTAGTTACATCTAGTTGCAATCGTTTGATGGACAGTCGAAAAAAATGGTATACAGTTGACACACAAACTCCCTTTCCACAAGCTGTAACAGAGAGTTAAATACCCATCTATGTCGATATCTGACACACTAGCTCCTTTCTCCAGCAGCAGCTTAACAATCTCTATATCTCCGTTTTCACAAGCTCTAAACAGTGGAAAATACCTCATCAATGGAGTACCTGTCACACTTTGCCCCTTTCTCCAGCAGCAGCTTAACAGATCTCTATATCTCCCCTTTTCACAAGCTCTAGCCAGTGGTGAATACCCATCCCTGTCGATATCGGTCACACTTGCCCCTTTCTCCAGCAGCAGCTTAACAATCTCTATATCTCCCTTTTCACAAGCTCTAGCCAGTGGTGAATACCTATCCATGTCGATATCAGTCATACACTTGCCCCTTTCTCCAGCAGCAGGCTTAACAATCCTCTATATCTCCTTTTCACAAGCTATAGCCAGTGGTGAACACCCATCCATGTCGATCATCAGTCACACTTGCCCTTTCTCTCCAGCAGCAGCTTAACTATCTCTATATCTCCCTTTTCACAAGCTGTAGCCAGTGGTGAATACCCATCCATGTCGATATCAGTCACACTTGCCCCTTTCTCCAGCAGTAGCTTAACTATCTCTATATCTCCCTTTTCACAAGCTCCAGCCAGTGGTGAATACCCATCCGTGTCGATATCAGTCACACTTGCCCCTTCCTCCAGCAGTAGCTTAACAATCTCTATATCTCCCTTTACACAAGCTCTCGCCAGTGATGAACACCCATCCATGTCGATATCAGTCACACTTGCCCCTTTCTCCAGCAGTAGCTTAACGATCTCTACATCTCCCTTTTCACAAGCTGTAGCCAGTGGTGAATACCTTATCCATGTCGATATCAGTCACACTTGCCCCTTTCTCCAGCAGTAGCTTAACGATCTCTATATCTCCCTTTTCACAAGCTGTAGCCAGTGGTGAATACCCATTCATGTCGATAGGAGTCACACTTGCCCCTTTCTCCAGTAGTAGCTTAACGATCTCTATATCTCCCTTTTCACAAGCTGTAGCCAGTGGTGAATACCCATCCATGTCGATCATAGTCACACTTGCCCCTTTCTCCAGCAGTAGCTTAACTATCTCTATATCTCCCTTTCTACAAGCTGTAGCCAGTGGTGAATACCCATACCAGTCGATCATAGTCATACTTGCCCCTTCCTCCAGCAGTAGCTTAACAATCTCTATAGCTCCTTTTCACAAGCTGTAGCCAGTAATGAATACCCATCCATTTCGATCTTAGTCAGACTTGCCCCTTTCTCCAGCAGTAGCTTAACTATCTCTATATCTCCCTTTTTACAAGCTGGAACCAGTGGTGAATACCAATTCATGTCGATATCAGTCACACTTGCCCCTTTCTCCAGCAGTAACTTAACAATCTCTATATCTCCCTTTTCACAAGCTGTAGCCAGTGGTGAATACCCATCCATTTCGATAGCAGTCACACAATGCGCCTTTCTCCAGCAGTGACGCTTAACAATCTCTATATCTCCTTTTCACAAGCAGCTGTAGCCAGTAATGAATACCCATCCATTTCCGAGAGTCACACTTGCCCCGCTTTCTCCAGCAGTAGCTTAACGATCTCTATATCTCCCTTTTCACAAGCAGAAGCTTAGCCAGTGGTGAATACCCATCCATGTCCATATTCCGCACTTGCCCCTTTCTCCAGCAGTAGCTTAACAATCTCTATATCTCCTTTTCACAAGCTCTAGCCAGTGGCGAATACCTATACCTGCCGATATCAGTTGCACACTTGCCCCTTTCTCCAGCAGTGACTTAACAATCTCTATATCTCCCTTTTGCACAAGCTCTATCAGAGTGAGTGAATACCCATCCATGTCCATATCATTGACAAACTTGCCCCTTTTCTCCAACAACAGCACTAAGCAACGATATATGTCCACTTTTCACAAGCTCTAGCCAGTGGCGGAATACCATACCAGTCGATATCAGTCACACTTGCCCCTTTCTCCCAGCAGTAGATTAACAATCTCTATATCTCCTTTTCACAAGCTGCTATCCAGTGGTGAATATGCTTCTATTCCGGTACCTTGCTTTGCCTTCACACAAGCCCTTTCTCCAACAGCATTGTAACCACCCCGATATGTCCCTTTTCTAAACACTCTGTTACAATTTTTGAATTACATTGCATGACAACTTTAACAGCGCTTGTATTTAGCAGTATCCGAACCACATCAGCATTGTTTGAATATGCAGCAATCAAAAGGGGGTGTTGGTCATCCACAGTGACAGATCTATCAGCATCATACTGTAACAGTAACTGAATGATATCAGTAAACCCCGCTGCACACGCTTTATGTAAGGGTGTATTAGAACCATCGTAAGGAAGCGGGTAACCCCTTTGATTTAATATAGCCTTAGCGACGTCAAGGAATCCTCCTTACAAGAGCTATAATCCAGTGGCGTTTCATTGTTTGTAATTCAGCATCGATGCAGTCAGCCCCTCTCTCCAGCAGCATGGATGCAGTATCTGAAGTTCCCCTCGCTCACAAGCAATACATGTAGGGGCGTGTTCCTTCAGCATCTCCTTCTGAGGATGCAGCATTGTCTTGGTAATCAGTGCCACGAGGTCACGGTTACCTGATCTGAAAGCAGAGTGTATTGTTGCGTTGAACATGATGTCGTGGAGATTGAGGATCTGCACCGTGCTGTATCAGACATTTCACAACATCTATAATTCTCTTTAGTTGCAGCAGCTAAAGCGGCAGTATTACTCATGGGTAGGAACGGTAGGTTGGTTCCGGACCCTTCATTCGTGTGCATTGACATCAAATCCATTCTCCAGGAGATAAGACACTACGCCAGTATGTCCGTAAAAGGCTGGAGAGGTGTAGGGACTGGCAAGGCATGGGTGTCATATGATTCAATAGTGTCAGAAGGCTCTCCATATTTTGTGCAATACCTGGTAGGGTCAGTCGACTTTTAGGATATCAGACAGTCAGTTAACTCGGTTTTCTATGCAGAGTAACTGCACAATGCTGGAATTACCAGAAATACAACATGGTGTGAGACAAGCAGCCTTTTGATTAGCTGTTAAAGCAGAACGACAGTGATTTGAACAGTTCAGCATTCCTCCCAAAGCACATCCAATGGATGAATGTTCCGCCAAACGTGCTATCTGAATTTTCCAAAAATAATTTGGATGTCATCAGAAATTTAACTGACGTTTGACCGCTTTCCAAGAACAACAAATTGAGTGAAAATACCCAAAGAATCGTGAGACAACACTAAAGCAAGGTTACTTTTGCAAAACCTCTTTTTACAAATCGTCTTTACCAAATCCTCAACCATTTTCCCCTTTAGACACACATAGAAACCGCCATCTTGTTCATGGACCCTGATATGAAGGTAAGTGAATTTTAGATCAATAATGTCAATGTATTCTTGAAGGTGATCTGCAATCACTGAGGATAAGGCTCTTTGTATATCGGTATTCCTAAGTATGACAAGCGTGTTCTGTTCTGATGTCAAGACAAGGTTTTCTAATCGAAGGAACGCATTCCTTATTTCGGCGTTTGTAGTTGCCTCACAATTACACAGTTGACAGCCCCAGTTAATATAGTCTTTCAGCGGGGAAGTATTTTTTTGGTCATCAAGAGCCATTAATGGCAGACGACGTCCTTTCATGAAGCATACAAGGGTCAAGGCTACAAAGGAAGACTTTTTGATTTTGAAATAGTTCTTCACAATATGAACGTATGTCTTCTGGACACAATCCTGAAATAAAATAAAAGTATTATGACGAATATTGAAGCATGAGTATATCTAGTTCACATGTTGCTAAAACATAAACGCATACATGAAGCTGAAATATATCAATAGAATATTTTACATCTGAACCTAAATGAATGTTAAATGTTTTGAAAAAAATACTGATATTATGAAAAGTGTCAGACACTTCTCAAACTGGAAGGTAGTGAGAAATGTATATACAGACATATGTATGAAATACATGATCACATGACGGATGTGTGATGTGTAACAACGATGCCAGTTGGTTCAAAAGATACAATGTCGCTTTTGGACTCCTCAAGACGCAGCTACGGTCGAGAATGAGGGAGAGTGACTGTGGGAAAGTGTGAGTGTGTGAGTATGTGTGTGTAAGAGTGAGAGGGAGTGTGTGTGTGTGTGTGAAAGAGTGAGTGAGAGCGAGTAAATCTGAGTGAGTGCGTGTATTGGAGAAAGAGTGAGTGTGAGTGAGAGAGAGAGTGAGTGAGTGAGAGAATGTGTGTGTGAGAGAGAGTGAGTGAGGGCGAGCATGTGTGAGAGAGTGAGTGAAAGAGAGAGTGAAAGAGAGATTGAGAGTGAGTGAGAGAGAGTGAGTGAGTGAGTGAGAGTGAGTGTCTGAGAGAGAGAGAGTGTGAGTATGTGTGTGAGAGATAGAACGAGTGAGAGAGTGTGTGTGTGAGAGAGAGTGAGTGAGTGAGAATGGTGTGTGTATGTATGTGAGAGAGAGTGTGAGAGTGAGTGTGTTTGTAAGAGAGTGGGAGTGAGTGAATAAGTGTATTAAATATTGACATCATGACTAAATACATTTGTTTACCACCGAAGTTCATTCATTGGTTTCCTTACTTATGACGTAAAATACAATCCCTCAGCAAGACAACAAGATATTGATATGATTGTCGTACTGCAAAGAATGTATTACAATTCCTTTTGAAAGACCTCATGTTTAGATGTCAATTGAAGCAGCTTTGAAAACTCCCTGTAATTGTGTTCACTTTCAGTAACTTCTTTGAGTGGCATGTTTAGAAGTTGGTGAATCAGATAAGGACACAACTTTATTGATAAACAACTTCTTTATTCGGATGATGCGACGTTTTGATACAGATCCTTGTATCGTTGTCAAGCAAGTATGAGTCAGAAAAAACACCCCCGCAAAAAACAAAACAAAAACAACAAGCAGTAGTCACTAAGGTGACATAATCCCCCGCCGCATATTATCAAATCAAACTTAAAGAGTAATGAAAGTGAAGGTCGTAGTTTAAGATGAAGTTAAATGAAGAAAATCCAGTGAACCCTTCTTGAGATATCTTGCTGACAATCTTAACATACTGAAATCTTCAAAGTATGCTGAGGGGATGAAATATCCTTGATTTCTGTTGATCAGGGGTTGGTATCATTTGATGTGGATGGATTCAGTTAATTTCCGTTTGGTAAAGTCAGCTTGGTTGGCTGCCAGTATTGTCTATTCTGGTCCAGTTGATTTGGTGATTCGGGTTCGTCTGAATGTGTTCTGAGATAACTGATTTGTTGTCGGATTTGTTTGTTGATGCCTGGTTCTCTTTCAATACCTTCATCTTAAACTACGACCTTCACTTTCATTACTCTTTAAGTTTGATTTGATAATATGCGGCGGGGGATTATGTCACCTTAGTGACTACTGCTTGTTGTTTTTGCTTTGTTTTTTGCGGGGGTGTTTTTTCTGACTCATACTTGCTTGACAACGATGCAAGGATCTATATCGAAATATTGCATCATCCGAATAAAGAAGTTGTTCATCCATAAAGTTTGTCCTTATCGAATTCTCAGTAAGTTTTAAACATGACCTTATTGTTCATTCTAATAAGGAATTGATTTAAGTTGTATCGCTGAGAAAAAAAGCTATGAAATCTACAATCAGCACTGTAATAATGGGAAAAGAGTTATCTCCCTTACCTGGTGTTGTATCATGCGGTTCAGATGGCATCATGTCACTTGTTGCTGTAATCTCCATTATTCCCGTGTTTTCACTGTTGTGAATACTCTCTGTTACAATAATGTTTGTGTTGTCAGTCAAACCTCCACATTTATCTAATCGTTCTTGTGTCGTGACAGTCGAAGGTTCCACCTCCATGTTAGAAATATCTCTCACTAGTTCTTCACAGGTGACCCTTTGATTGTGGACGTCGATCACACATGTTTGTGTGGATGTCCTCTTCCGAATATCTTCCGCCTCAACGTCTTGTTTGCTGGCACTTGTGTCATTGGGGATCTGTATGATTTCCACCTCCTCGGGTGAGTGAACGTTGATTTCTTCATTGTTTGTCTGCATCTCTGCTGCATCTAGAAGTTGGTGTTTAACATACTCCCGATATCCAGATACGTGACAGTTCCTCATGACAGCAGGACAGACACCTGACAGCAATGCCTCAGCAGCCTGCAAGTAACATGATAATACCTTGAAACACCTTTAACAATATCACCTGTATGCCTGACTATGTTGCTGAGAATCTAATTTGAATTGAAAGATGTATTTGTAATACTGGCGTTTGACTGCAATACTAAAATATTTTGAGCATCAAAATTGTGCTTGCTTTAATAATCATGATTTTTATACCAGATAGCATATATAAGTAAATATATTGTATTCTCGTATTCTCATCTTAATTTCTTTTTAACGAAAGATGTTTTTTTTATAATTTTACTCTGGCACAAAGGCATATTGTTCGAAAAAGTCCTAGCGTAGTATTCTCTTGCTGCTTCCTCATACCTAACTAAAACGAATGGAATAAATAGATTTATGCTTAAACTTTGTTTCTCTAGAAAACCCAACAATACCCAAGTGCTAATGTGACAGATATTTAAATTTATGTGAGGTGTTACTCGATAAAAGAAATACGTGCTTCATTCACTTACCATAAGAATATGCACACCACAGCTGCTGCCGTCAGTTTGTGGGAAGACGGGGCACTGGATCTCCCTCCAGGCAGAAAGATTCTCTTTCGTTTCCCGACTTCTACAGGCCATGTACTCCCTGCAACCAAATCCGTAAACGTATTCTGAATAACGTTTGTCCTAAAACACTGATCAGTGCATTGACAGTCTACTTTGATATCCGACACACTTTCTTTCTTAAATTTGTGTTTTGGGGGGTTTGATAATGAACCAGGATATACGCATTCAAAATTTGGTCACTGTGCACATGCCGAGGGTAAAATGTGTATAACCGCTACTGTAGTGAATAGTAACCAGAAACGAGAATTGACATCTTCTGTAGTAAGAGAACTAAGCCCCTGGAACATTCGATCAGTGATACCTGTATAGGTGGTAACACATGCAATACTAGGATCCTGTAAAGAATTTGAATTGGGACACTTTCAGTTATTCCGCATGTTGCCTCTGTGAATATGCCGTGCTGACATGAAAAGAAACGTATGTCACCCTCCGAAATTATTTAGCCTCCGATTTCAGATGATCAACCCTCCCTCCACCCAACCTTACACTAATTTATATCACAGTAACTGGTTCTTCAAGCACGTTTTTACAAAATGTCAGTGTCTTTCTCCAGTGCTGAAGTTATATCCATCCATACATACATCCTCTCATGCTATAAGCAAGCATCTTTTCATAGTATTGTTATCAACATCTGGCAGTTGTTACCTCCAGTGCTGAAAAATATTTCTCTGTGTGTCCTCTGAGGGTTTAGAGTTAATCACACAAACATCCCCATTTCTTATGTTCGCAGCAAGCAGTATCCAGTGACTGTGTCGACACATCGGCATCAGGATCCACGTGTACTCCACCAGGGCTACCTGGAATTATTCACAAATATGTTTAAATGTAGTTACAATGAAAACAACAATAAAATATACAGACATCATATGCTGTTACATTGCTGCTGCTGTTAGACTAGTCGACGAGTGTAAGTAGGAATGGTACATGAGATTGCTGATATTACAAACAGTCACTGATTCTGTAGTTATGCTATTCACATGCCAGTATCTTACTGGGCAATCAAGTGATAACTTTACCTCTTTATACAACCACTCTCCATAATTCTTCTTTTCCCAGAATTCAGCAAGGAAACATTCCAAGATGAATATTTTCGTGCCTTCTTTAGAGAATCGTTCTTCCAACAGATACAGGTAAGCATGGATCACCTGTAAAATGTTAAAGTTTATGAGTGCATGATTTTCTTTTATGTGGAATAAAAGTAGAGAACATCTTTGTGACAGCATAGAACCTAGACTACTTTTGCATGATTGGGCTTCAGTCTGCAATGCGCATATACGGAGGAATTAGGAATATCATCAAGCGCTAATTACAATCGAATCTAAACTGCACTTACTGACATTAAATACGACATCAGATGAAAAATTACATTTAACCATCACATTTTTCACACATGACTTCACACAGTGCAAGCAAAACTAATTTTGTTCGGCTAATATCAAGCACGATCTGAGTGTTAAGTAATGTTATTTTTAAATTCAGTTCTCAGCGTAGGGCACCAAATTCCCTTTAATGAATTCAATGGAAAGTTTTCAAGTCAGGGAATAACTTACGCTGTCGTCAAGCCATGATGATTTGTTCAGCTTCATCAGGTCCTGTCCAGCCACTGTATATCTGCCAATGCTAAAGCGGACTTGGTTTGAGACCTCTACAGTGATATCGTTGCCTGATGGTTTTAAATGCCCTGGTCGTTCTTTGAGAGTTTCCATAAACTCAACAACGTCTGTTTGCATTTGAAATGCTCCTAACACTAATGATGCAAGTAAAGGTGGAAAGGTATTTGAATTCGTGTTTTGTTGAACAGTTTCAGTTTTGAGAAGAAGGTCACTGGTCAAATTGAAATCAGACACCCATAGATTTTTCACTTGTGTGATAAGTGTGGAAGCTGTGAGAGGCAGAGAAGATGAAAGCCACTGTGAGCCGTTATCTTTGATACAGGAGTTCCCAGATGATCTGTGAGCTGATGCTTCATGCTCAAAAAGCCCGGTGTTCATCGGCTCTGTGCTGATAATATGATTGCTGCTGACTGACATTCCATGTACTCTGAATTTGATTGAGTAGCTGAATAATCCTCACAAGCCTGCCATCGTTGACAATGGCGTGAATGAAGTTTTCGAGTGAAGCTGGTTGTGTGTGTTCACTGTTGTCATTTTCTACCAGCACTGGAGGACCTGGTGCAGTTTCTTTTCCTGATGTGTGTACTGCGATGTCTGAATTTGACTGTTTGTCGTCTTGACAAGGGATTTGACAGCTGCCATCTTTGGATGAGGAAAATGTCAACTCGTTTTCCTTTACATGTTTCGAAGGAGCATTCGCAGAGATAGAATTGCTTGAGGTAATACATTGATCTTGGAGAATGGTTTTAAGGAAATCAACCGCTTCTGAGGCTCCTTGGTCCTTGTTTTCTCTGCTTATAGTCTGTGGTACATTTGCTCCATCACACGTCAAAGGATGAAGATGATCTGTTTGGCCCGTCTCTGATTGTAACACTTGTGTGTTATCAATGCCAGCAGTAGATAAGGCTGTGTTTGATTCTACTAAACCAAAGTCCAAAGGTGTCTGAGGATTTCTTACTGGCATCACGTGACTGTCTTCTGTTGGCCGTAGATTATCCTGATTGTCAGGGAAATCAGATGATGCTCGAACTATGTGTTGTAGATTCTTTAGCCTTTTCGGTTTTTTCCTTTTTCCTTTCTCAGGTACTATCTTCTCCACTTCAGTGTCCTTTAAAGCAACTGCAAGATTGTATAGCGTAGGCTCTCCAGTTTTGTCCAGGCTGTTGGTGTGATTTTCCTTTGTGCAGTCTTTTTGCCCCCTGTATCTCGTATTCATGACGTGAAGACGTGACCGTGGTTTATATACTTCTGGAACATCTGAGGTAGCTGCTTGCCGATTTAAACAAGTCAAAGTTTCTGTGAAATTGCTGGAAACATCTTTGATGGCTCTGATTACAGATGGACAAAGTCAGATGTATGGAACAGATGCATTTTGGAGTTACCATGAGGAAGATCTTCAGCAATTCTCTCATCTCCAATGTATTGGAATAGCACAAGATGATTGTCTTCTCCTAAATGAATATAGGCATGCTTCTTAAACCTCTTGTCCTTGCCTTCCCTGGTCTTTATAACAAAGAACAACTTCTTGAACTTTGGATCTGCTTTTGGTTGTTCTCGTGTGGCATCATGGTGGAAGTGGTATTGGTCACATCTCCAGTCATCTGCATTATCATTAATTTACAGATTAAATAGTTTTCCTACTTGAGAGAAGGTAAATGACATTGTTTCACAAGGACAGCCCAGAAATGTAAATATAATACGATGTAATGGAACATTGGACATTGTATCCACAAGGTAAATATATTTTGATCAGAAACATTATATCCTTTTGAAATTTAACATGTTTAGACATAATGACGACAGTATAAGAGGAAACACCGTTACAGACATTACACCTGTCTAAGAGGTTTTAAATTTTTAAACCCATTTTTTAACAAGATAATAAATCACACGTTAAATGAGTGAGTTTAGTTTGACGCTGCTTTTAGCAATAGTGCAGCAATAACACGGCGGGTGACACCATAAATTGGCTTCACACATTGTACCCATGTGGGGAATCAAACCCGGATCTTCGCTTTAACCCAGTCTAAGTGTATTTAGGCTCAGTATTATTCGTTACAATACGCGACCTTCTCGTAAGGTTTGTTAGACTCAGTATAGCAGTGTAATGAATAATACTGAGACTAAGTTTACTAGAACTGCGCTTTAACCACTAGGCTACCCACCGCCCCTACGTTAAAAGTCAGTGAGGTCTTTTCAAACTGATATTAAAGAAGATGATACCTCGTTTGTTGACATCAGTGAAGTGATAGAGAAAGGCCTGTCCTGCCCTTGGTTTTACGGGAGGCTGGGTGGTGACTCTGCTGAAGTCAGGATTTTGGAGGATGTCAAGCACTTCCGTGGTGGTGAATGATTCGTCTTTGTTGGTATACGGTCGGCTGAAAAGGTGTGTCTCAGTTTCAAGCTAACAACCTATGCATCTTCTCAACATATCATTATCATGAAGATCGCCTCCGTGGTGTAGTGGTTAGAGCATCCGCCCGGAGAGCGGAAGGTCGCGGGTTCGATCCCCTCAGCGTCATACCAAAAGACGTTAAAATATGGTACTTGCTGGTCCCTGCCTGGCGCTCTGCATTAATGGGTACAACAAGGACTGGTCGGCTCGGAGTCAGTATAAAGTGTCTGAGTGGGATATTCATGCTTCACTGCGGCGTGGTATCCCAGTGGGCTAGCACTATAAAACCAGCCAAAGTCTGGGCTAGTACAAGCATCCGCACATACACATACACACGCATGCACGTCGTCATATGAGCGAAATATTCTCAAGCACGACGTTAAACCCAATTTCACCTCACCTCATTATCATGAACCTAAATGACAAGAGCCCTATCCCCTTCAGGCACAGGAACCTACTTTGCGGCAAATTGTTTCAGAAGATTACTGGATTTTCATTCATAATCAGAAATGGTTTCACCTTTTCCTTAAATTTATCCACAGTTACATTTTTCTAAATGCTACATAAATTGATATTCTAGATGTGATGAAACATGACCGATTCATTCCAAATGATGTGTCTCTCCTAAAAAATAATTTAATCCTGATAAAACAGGAATGATGATTATTCCTGAATGATGAAGTTACTCACAATGTTGTCGGAACTGTACAATTTAATCTGAAGACATTAATTATGGATGTGGAAAGTGTTCTGTCACTTTGATGTATATAATATATCACACATACTTCGAGGGTTGTTCTGCTGCGGAGGCTGCTGTCGTCGTGATGACGGCCCTGGGTTCAGTTCTACGTTTCCACTGAGAAGCAGCAGAAGTCCGATGACCAGGAGAATGTGCCGCGGTCGACACGAGAAGCTGCCCCATCCTGCTGCCATGCCCTGAGTGGTGGTAGTCTTCTGGCTCTTGTTGGGTTGGCTGTGTAGTCCAATCCGGGCTCTCAGGTTTCTATGGTTACGCCCATCCTTGTACAGCAGGGTACGCGCGCTATTGGAGATGTGACGATCTGTACATAAGCATGATGTAGTATGTTTTATTCACAAACTTAAAACGTTTTTATGACACTTCTAAGATAGTATTGACTCTTCAAATCGTAGGTATTGATTTACATACCATACTGATTACACCCTAATCTCAAATGATGATCATGACAATACGCTAAAGAAGGAAGCAAATTGTGACATAATTGAAACGTATCACAACCTCATTGGCAGGATACCTGTAACACTGTTTCATAAGTATGTTTTAGTGTAAATATTTAGGAAACCACGAGCTCTTTCGATTCAGTCTGCTTTGATATCCGAGGCGCCTTTCATTGTTAAATACGCTCTTTTTTATACTTAACAAAGACATTAGTATTTTCAAAATGTCGTCACTATCCTTTGCACACCATGTCCTAATTAGATATGATAATTATATTCAATGATGTGAACATAATATAGAGGTAATCAGTCATTATTTGGCTGATGTTATGTACATTGACCCATAACTATCAAAAACTTCAAAATAATGTTGTCGTTTTTTATGAGTCACAGGATCAGACGGGTGAAAACAACTCACGTTTTTATCGTGGTCATCACGAGAAGTTTATGTACGTGTTGAAACCGATCATTGCCAAACATACACACACAAAACAAAACAAAACAAAACAAAACCGTAGTACTGTCTATTGGAGGATCTGGATATATGGCATATGCAGCAGCTATGTGACGACAGCCAGACATAACTGGGTGAGACAAACAGTGGTTAATATGATGAGCACGGGATCCACGCATGACACACAAGGTCAGCATTCCACAACCACTTTTCTCCCCCACTATAACGCGCTATTTAAAGACTGTGGAATCTGGACTGAAGCTCATTTGGCATTACCGCAATGTTTCTCACATTTTAAAATTAAAGAACTATAAGAAATAATTTTCCCATATTTCTATCACAGGAAAGGGTGCGAAGCTAAACGAAAATCAAGAACAAACCAGATAAACTGTACCGATTTTTATTGCAGATACCTTCACAGCAAATCTAGACGTACCTTGTGTGAATCAGAATAATCATTTGATTAAAGACTTTCATGCATATGTAATCAATATTTCTTATTTGTGTAAAGGGGAATTAACAAAAAGTAAAAGATTGCATGGAACAAATGCTAACGCCAATCTACACTGCAAACAGCAATGTAAATTTGTATGCTCGTCGGTTCTCTCTTTAGTGGTCTCCATTATGGAAGAATTGTCTCCCCCTTACCGTTGGGGGTTTCGTTTCAAGATGGAGTCTAAGAATAATGAGGATAAGGCTGTTGTCATCGCTAAGACGCCGTCAGAACTTCAAACAATGAGACTAGATAAACTCATGAAAAATCCGGTGGGTAGACAATGAATATGTCTAGACGAAGTATCTTCATTGAAAACACGTGTAGAGTCAAGCATTATACAACTCCACGGCCTTACTCTTTACGATTCGGATTTCGCACACAGACTGTGCTGTTTTGTAAACCTTTTATAAAGCAAAACGAGATTTACGCAACGAATACAAAGGAAAACAAATAATTCATTGCTTATCAAAGTTAAAGTATGCTTATTAAAGTATATGTAAAACTTTTAATCATAAGACGTGAAAACAACCAAGTAAAAGTTCACCAGCAAGCAGTTCATTAGTTGTGAGATTTTGGAATATTTCTTTACAGTGGCTTAGCATGTTAAACGAGCAATAAACATGATAAAGCTTGTGCTAAACTGTCAGTCCTTGAAAATTGGTTTCAACTAGCAAATTACTTTATTTTTGGGATAAGTGTGTCTCAGTTAAATATTGGTAGTAACTGAGAACCTATTTTTTTCATCTAAAATGTTATTGTTATGTACAGAGACATTATCCCAGTTCCCTCTGACACTTAGTCACTTAAATGTTCTCTATACAGAAAAAAGGAAAAAAGAAAAAAGTTGATATAATTTACCAATATCTATTAGTTGTTAAGTTGTCCACAGGAGGCGTATCTAAACTGAACGTGCATCTGCAGAATGGAGCTGATGATGCGGAAAACCCAAATTCACACAAAGATATAATAGCATGCATAATTGTAAAATTACAACGAGAAACAAGCAGTTTGTTACAAGTTTGTTAATGGAGACAAGTTACTGAGGGAAACCCATGTCTTTGTGATTATCTTACAATACCTGATAATCGATTACCATAATATATTTCCTCTACCCTTTTAACATCTCTGACAATGCGAGAAATATATTCGTGATATCATTTCGAAAATGTACAAGACATGTGGACACACAAACAAGTTGTGAAATAGAAGGGACTCCAGTATTCATTCGATCTACCCTAACAGAATTATAATGAGATCTCGTGATGTGCAATGTCCACCCCCCCTCCCCGTACCCCTTTAGGACAACGCTTGTATTTTGACCGATCCGAATTTTATGCGTTGTCTTTTGATAGCATACTCTCCTTATCTATTTCATAGTTATGTCGAGGAAACTTATATTTCCTTACAATACATGTTGGTTTCTGGTACAACCTATTAAATAGCCTATCTTTACAAATCAGACGAATCCATAAGTTATTGAAGGAAACCCATGTCTTTGTATTTATAATTACAATGCCTGATAAAGATATAATCACGTAATATGCAATTTGAAGTCAGACTCACCCACTTTCTCTTGAGCGAAATAGCCTTATCTTAACAAATCCGACGTTATGAGTTTTCATCGGCTAGCATACCGAGAATATTTGTTTGACAGATGTATTAATTGAATTAATACATGAAAGTTCACCTGTATGCCTGGTACGTCATACTGACAGATCTGTATTAGGTTAACAGATCCGAGCTTTTAGAAAACGTTCTTGCATTATGCCATAGCTTTCAACGAAGTATCGAGGGTTTATGAATTCCATTATTTTGAAAGGAATAGATTACTATTATAGATATATTTAAAGGAACGGTATTAGATGGGGAGACCATGCATCTATCTACATGTTCTAGTTTGCTTGAGGGAGTCACAAGGAAGAAGTTGGAGATAAACGTCATAGAATATAGTTTTGGTGTTTGTTGACCACAAAACGTATAAATGCGTCTGATATCTATTTTATTGGATCAGTAAAGCTGATAGAGATAGATTATTTAATCTAAAGTTGAAGTTGAGAAATCATTTTGTTTTCAGTTACAAACTGATTACGTACTCTTTTTTGTCGTGATAGTCATAAAACAACATGCATGCTATTACTTTATTGTAGCTTTGGTTTTCCACATCTATACATATCATTGTGCGTAGTAGTCTTTTCTTTCACATTTGATAATTATCGACCTTCAAATGATTCCCCATTGGATTCAAACTAGACCCTCGCACACACATAAGTCCGGACTTGGGTGAACAATACAGGAGTGAACATTTCCTGTACATTTCACGGTTAAATGAACTTTCTTATGAAACGGTATCAGGAACATATTTCAGAAATGTCAAACATAGCAAAGGATATAGTTGGCGGTTGCTTTCACACAAGCGTCCATGAATAGTACCCTCAGATATGTGATACAGGTTTTGAATCGATTAAGTTTTCATTCTGCCCCTGTCATTGTTATCAGGAGCGTTCAGCCATTCTATATACCTACTGTCACAGTTCCAGTAACCGCAGACTTTCCTGTGGCCAGGTTCAACAAACACCAAAACTATATTCTATGACGTGTATCTCCATACTTCTTTCTTGTGACTCCCTCAAGCAAACTAAAACATGCATATAGATGCATGGTCTCCTCGTCTATCAGTTCCTTTAAATATATCAATAGTATTTTATTCATTTGAAAATAAGAAAATTCATAGAGCCTCGATACGGAAGTTGCCACGACTTCGTTGTAAGCTATGGCATAATGCCAGAGCGTGGTTCTAAACATCGGATCTGCTAAGCTAATACAGATCGGTCAGTTTGACGTACCATGCATACAGGTGTACTTTGAATATAAAAATGTTCTCAACACATCTGTCAAAC